CACTGCTTTTTAATTGGTTACCCCTGGTTTAATGTTTGTAAATATATATTTCCCGTCATGTGCTCCATCCCATGCAGATCATTGGCTCCACCCACATCTAGTGGAAACTAGTGTGATTGGATGAGTCATATAACGCAAACACTCATTGGTTAGCTAAAGGAAATCATCAGAAGCAAGCAGGTGTTCTTCAAACTGCTAACGTGAATTGTCTATGCCATGCTACAATGTCGGATTCAGAAAAAGATGTTGAAATGTCTGAAAGGTCGGACACAAGCGAGAGCGTACCGGGAGACGGAGACCAACAAGACCTCCCTCATCCTTGGCCCTATCTCAAAGGATTTTTCAAAACAGTCGAAAAATTGAGCTTTCAGTTCATATAGTGGCATATGGCAGTTTTTTTTTAAGGTTACTTTATACTTTTATACTTTAAGTAGTTTTTGGAGCACATACTTATAATAATTTATTTACATAATTTACATAATTTATTCCTCTCACCTGTTTCCTCTTGGTTAAATTCAGTTCAGCCTGAGCATTCAGGGCCAGATCATTAACTGTTTTTCTGTTAGCCTGTCTGTTCAGTTTTATTTCATGGTTCATGTCCTGGATCCTGTCAGCCAGTGGAAAGAGGTTTTTGTGTTTGTCTTGTCTCCTAATCGTCCACTGTTCCTCCCCTGCAGAGTCCTCTGGGTTTTTGGCTCTATATGCAGGGAGGTTCAGTTTTTATCCAAGTAAGCCTGGCTCCAAGGTGGAGACAAGTTTAAAGTCCTGCATCAAGTTCTGGTTCCACGTCCTGTCTCGGCTACCCTCTTCCACTTAGCCTGCTCATCTGCACCTGATCCTGTCTGCTCCTGTGTCGGACCCAGTCAGACTCTGAACCCTCCTGGGAAGTTGTGAATGCCTAGAAGTTTGGATCCTGCTACCTGTTCTGTTCCTGCCTGATCTGGATCCTGCTCCTGTCTGTTCAGGATCCCTGACCAGGATCGGCTTCCAGCATGTCCTCTGGGACTGCAGCACTTGGGGAAATTCTTGGACTGGACTGTTAAACCAGGTAAGTGTCTCTCCTTGAATACTGGGTCCATCTGTCCGCGTTTCATGACAACTTTTTCCCTTTTACCTAAGTAAAGAGGTCA